AAAAAAAAAAAAAAATGAAAAAAATATAAAAATAAACTTATCAGGACATTTTTAGTACCTTAATTATATGCTTTCGTTATGATTTAGGGTCAAGATTCTGTTTTTCTCTTGATTTTTTTGTATTCTATGGTATACTCCATTGTTCTAGTAAATAAACAACCTGAGACGTAATATTTCGACCACTTGTCGGCTTTCTTCAAAATGAGAGAAAAAAAAAAAAATTTCACGATGTATTGCATCAGAAGTATGCTGTTCATGTAATAACTGAAAGTACACATGTATTTCTTGATATGATGATGCATTTTTAATGTGTAAAATAAACAAAAAAACTTAAGGATAAAAGCAGCTCAACTTTATGTAACTCAATTATTTAGGCTTATAAGTACTGTTTAAAAAAAATGCATTTGTAATTGTGTATGAAAGATGAATTTTTTACTTTTTTTTTATTTGTACACTTGGTAACAGATTGTAGCATTTTCTGTTTTAATACATAGAGAACAATACAAATTTGTATTGTCAGTCATGCTATATTATATTGATATTGTAAAATGAAATTTACAAATATATTTCTGCAATATTAAAATGAGTCAAATATAATTATTTTTATGGTGTTTTTTCTAGGAGATAGTGATATACTTTCTTTCTAATATTTCCAAGCATTCGTGTTTTTCATTTAATTCAGAATAGTATGAAGTTATTCTATATAACCCTAAATGTTTGTTGGTAAAATAAAAAAAAAATTCAGAATATGCCTCTTTTATCTAAGTATCTTAAGAATATTTCTGCTATCTACACAATTAAAATTAGTAGGTATGTCAACCAATTTCACTAAATACTTTGCAAAATATGTGAATTTTCATTCTTTATCTAAATTATTCATATAATCAATGAATACTATATCCAAACAATGTGTATAAAAATGAATTAAATTTAAATAAAAAATTATAAATCGTCCTGATAAAGTGAAAGAAAAATTGATTCAACTGTAATTGCAGGAAGAGAGCAAATGGCCAAGTTACATGAACACTTGGGAATTGAGATAACAACGATTTTACAGCGCATTAAAACATGCAGCGATTCAGCGTATATGACGTGAAATATGTACGAAAAATCCAACTGGTGTAGTCTTCTAATTGTAAAAAATGCAGGAAAAATAAGAAAGCGACGATATTTTAAACGAAACATTGATTTATTGAATTTCGTGACCAAATAGCTACCGGACTATCTGTATAGTGCATCGTTTTAGATGATTTTTTGTACCGATGTAGTATATGAGTATAATATTGTAGGTACTCGAGAAATTGTTAAACCATTTTTATTCATTCACTTTTGTAAACGTACATTTATTTTTACTAATTCGATAAACATTACCAGAATGTTTGTTACATCATATTTCATTAATTTTCAATAAAGTTGATTTTCCGCTTACATAATTATTACATTGTATCCACAGTGAGAAATAAATTGTATTCAAACATCACTTTTGATGATTAATAAACTATGGAGCTTTCAAACTAATAAAAGTATAAGAACAGAAAAATAGTATTTTTTCTCTACGAAAAATTTTTTTCCCGTCTTTCAAGTACCTTAGCGATTATTGTATTAAGAAATTTTTGTGCGAGATGTTACAGTAGATAATAAAATACTTCAAATACAATGAATATTGTGCCATTTTATCTATTTTTTGCGCTTCACAATAACAAAATTTTATTTTCATACATTTCCGTTTTTTGTTTTTTTTTTCGATACACATTCAGGCCATTTATTGTTTTTCTTTGGTAAAAAATACAGCTGTGCATTGTCTAGTTATCTATATTGATAATGTTAGCTAATACTGTTTTTGCCTATAAAAGTTGAGGTCTATCAAACTAATCCCTTTGTTAAGATACAAAATGAAATTTTTCACGTGCATCTAATGAATAATGTAGACTATTAAGCTTTTAAGTTAAAAATAAAGTATAATCTCTCTTCATTGTTTACAATTTCCGTACAATTAGCTATTTTTGTTGTATACTCAACATTCTTTAATTAACGTCATTTAGCCCCTTTTCTGTACATTAACATTAATTACATTTATTTGTATTTTCAATGTACGTTGAAAAATCAAAGATCCCGTAAATGCAGCAAGATGAATAAATTATTTTTACAATATCTCCAAGTACTGCTCAATAATCACTATAGAAGTGTACAGGGCTTAAAAGCGATATTAGTTACCATTACCGAAAAATATTCCATGAAAAATTCTATTGTATCGATATTGTTTATTTAATATTTACACACGGTGAAAAGAGCCGTCACGATCGATTCTTATTTTGTAAGTATATTATGAAGCGGAACCTACGAAATGTTTGATCAATCGTTCAACGATTGAAGCGCTTCGTGTACGTGCATTTCAAATATTGACTTTAGCGAGAAAAAAACCTTCGTTTCATTATTACACGAGAAGTGTGCACGCACCTTTAAATAGTTCATGGCACTTGATGCGTATTTTTTCTATTAAAAATTCGGGCTAATTTTCAATACGTGAAAATAAAGTTTTTTTTTTTAAATCACGTTTTTACATTTACATTGGAGTACCAAAAATGTTGTTCAACTGTTGAGTGCATCTTATAAAAGTGGCACGTCTGGGCAGTTCGCGCAAACGAGATGCCCCGACATAAGTACAGGCTGAGCGCAAACCTCCGAGTATGTCTAATATTGTTGCGTCTACGGGTCCTTTGTAAGGCACTTCAACAGTTTTGCCTTCTGATGACCTGAAACATCAAGCATGCATACATTCAATTCCACAATTAATGCCTGATACAGGTGCTAGTGTTTAACTTTAAAAACTGATGACAGATAAAACAAACGTTGGGTTAAATAAATTCAGTACAAGAACACACGTGTCTCACAAATGATTCACGCATGAAAAATGCTTTGTGTATGCTAAGTAATGTGAAAATAATACTTTTGCGTACCCAGCATTTTTTAATGCAAGTTAGCAGAATGACACAAAAATTAACTTCGCAATACAAGTGGCAAATTTATTGTTTTTATCATCAATGTAGACTATTTGAAGGTTAAAATTGATAACTTAATACAATTAAATTACAATAGAGCTCTAAAATTAGTTTTTACATATTAAAAAAAAAGAAGACAATCAATGGCAAAAATTAAAAAAATAAAATATTCCAGTTTTTATACAAATTTACCTGTAATCAGCCACTCCACCAGAATGTTTAGTCATAGCTGTATTAGAAGCCATGCCATAAAACAGTTTAAATTTTTTCCCGTCTCTCTCAGTAACTGCACCTCCGCACTCATCGTGGCCTGCAAACATGCCACCAGCCATAACAAAATCGGCGCCAGCACCGAAAGCCTTTGCTATGTCTCCTGGGCACACACAGCCACCATCCTAAAATAACGTAATGGCTATTAAAAAATTAAACATGATTTTAAAAAATTTAGAAATAAAGTTCGATCGTTGTTTGTTTACACTTACAGAAATAATATGACCTTTGAGTCCGTGAGCAGCATCTGCACACTCAATTACTGCACTCAATTGAGGATAGCCAACGCCAGTTTTCATGCGTGTAGTGCACACAGATCCGGGGCCAATTCCAACTTTAATGATATCTGCACCAGACAGAATCAATTCTTCTACCATTTCACCAGTAACTACGTTTCCAGCCTGAAAAAAAAAAAAAAAAAAATCAATTTAACAAAATTTTCAAGATTTAACAAATGAATCCAAATACGTACATAGGTGTACGCGTGTGATAGGAAAATCAAGTTTTTCGAGAAAAACTGATAACTTAAAAATAACTTACGATTATCGTGTGTTCAGGAAATTGTGATCTAACTTTCCTAACATACTCGACGAAATGCTGGGAATACCCGTTGGCAACATCTATGCAGATGAACAGCAGCTCGGGAACAGCTGCCAAGATGCTTGACAGGCGCTCGAAGTCTTCGTTGCTCGTCCCTGAGCTTGCTGCCATGTGCATCAAGCAGTCCCTATTCTCCGCGGCGAACTCCTTCCAATCCTCGGTCGTGTAGTACTTGTGTACAGTGGTGAATAGGCCGTGCTTGATGACAAATGGGGAAACAAAAAAAAATTAACAAAAAGAAAACATCGAAAAAAAAATACAATAAAATTATTGTAATAATACCTTGGCCAGTGCTCTTGCCATTTCGAAGGTGCCGACTGTGTCCATGTTCGAGGCCATCACGGGAATGCCATTGTAAGTGAGTTTTGAATTACGAAAAGTTATGTCTCGGTAAAGATCCACCTGTAAAAATTCAAAAAACATTCATCCTCAATCATTACTTAAATCAATGCAAAGGAAAAAAAGTTCTCGGATCCTTGGCGACTGAAGGGGCCTACCGTTTTTTTTTAATAAGTCGATAATAATAACAACAGCAACGAAAAGGTATATGTGTATATGTACATGTAAACTCTTCCGTTCTCAAAACCAATAACTTCGAGAGCACAATGACGAGCTTTGGCTATTAATAAGTTTGCGGAAAGAACCTCGGGACCGAAGTTCGTATACTTATTACGCACGTGTGCGAGAGCACCTCGATATTGCATATGTAAGAATACACAAATAGTTGTATTAGGTTCTCTTAATATTTGCATCGATAAGATACCACGAACACCGGACGTGTATCGTTTTCCTTCTCGCCTTACAAGATTACGCATTGCGACGATGGCAGATAGTGCAAATAAAACAAAAACAAAAAAAAAAAAAAAAAAAAAAAAACAAGACAGGCACGGCAAACACCGTGAAATATCATGAAAGGGGGCCAAATAGTAATGACAGTGAAACATTTTTTTCTTGTTTTACTAAAAAATAAAATACACTCACATCTGATCTACTCCTGAGAGTGCTCCTTTTAGGCCTAAGGAGTACATCCTTGAAGTCGAGCTTGACGTCGTTGATGATGTTTGGCATCCTGGCACTGAGATGCAAGCTTCTCCTCTGCAATCCTCCTACTCCTTCTGTCACGACAATTGCCTGATGTCTACCTGCGATTCCAACTTTGAAACTGATGCTGCTGTCAGTGGTAATTAACGTTCCCCTTCTCCTCTTGTTGTGGTGCTGATGATACCGCTGCTGTTCCGCAACTGAGCAAGAACGTTTGCGCCTACTGGCGCGGCTGCTGTTGTTGCTGCTGCGCTGCGGCTTGGCTGATGATGATGATGATGATCCGGCTACGCGGCTGCGCTGCTGCTCCTGACCCGCTGTCACGAGCAGACGCGACAGCGGACTCGTCGTGCTCGAACCGATCCACCTGCACTGCAACAAAAAAAAAGATGAATATAACATAACGATGAAAAATATTCTTTTTTTTTTTTTTTTTTTTTCTCATTTTTTACTATCAAGTACTTGTATTGGGTACAAAAAAGGGGCAGCTAGAAGGACCAAGACCAAGGGGTGTTATACACGTGACAATTGTACCCTTATACATGTGCAAAAGAGTCGCCGTGAGCCGTCGCGAAACCAACAGAGGGAGGATAGGATACCGTGGAGGAGGAGGAGGAGGAGGATATTACAAGTTACGAAAAATATGGGTTGAGGTCGAGGACGTTGCGGAGTAGGGTCGGGCATGTATGTAAAAATCCTACACATGTAATGAACGAGCGAGAAAGAAACGGACAGAGGACGAGATAGAAGAAAAAAAAAGTGTGTGTGAAGAAGCGTGAAAACGCGCTCCCTGGCTGATGCCATTACGCGAGATATGTCGTTTTCCCCGTAAAATTACCAGGGCAATTAAAATATCTTGAAATCGGGAGCGCGTGGCGCGTAATGCACACTTCCGCAGTTGTATGTTAGGACTCGCGATTTGTTAAAATTTCGCGATACACGGTATGTTATAATAAGTATGTGCGTGTGTTGTGTTATATATATGTTGTTCGGTAAGTACCTTGAACATTCGAAATTCTAACCTCCCCGTGGAAAAGTAGAAAGAGCGCAGCGTAACACAAAACGCCGAGAACAGCCCCCGCAAGCCCGCAACCTCTGCCTTTTTGGCTTTTTCTCTCTCGACGCTTGCGCGCTGCTGCTGCCTCTCTTTCTGAACTTTATTGAGGGAGAGCTGGGAGAGAGAGGAGAGACACACTTTTTGTGCTAGTGCAATGCAGTAGTCTCGAAACGTGAACGAATCGGGCAACAAACATGAAAGTGCTGCAGAAGAACAAGAAAGGCGCCAAAGCCGCGCCGATGCTCAAGCTCAAGGTGAAGAAGAAGCGAACACGTGTGCGGGCCAAGAAACAGATGAACTCGATGGCAAGGCTGCCGGAGACCGCAGCTGTGAAAAGTAATGCCCCCAAGAAAACTAAGGACGATAAATCGTTGTTGGTCGCTCAGGAGGTCAAGTTCGCCAGGTTATTGGCGCATAATGACAAAAAAGTCAGGGATAAGGTGCTTAAAAATCTCAAGCGCTGGCTGACTGTGCGATCACGGAGCTCCTTTGGTAAGAATGGATATGGCCAATTTCACCGATAATGTTGCTTGTGATTCTTCATTAGGTTTTCTTAATGTTATGCTTGAACCCCTACAGCTTTCACTGAGGAAGACTTTCTGAGGCTATGGAAGGGTCTGTTCTACTGCATGTGGATGTCGGACAAGCCTCTGGTGCAGGAAGACCTTGCGGAGTCTTTGAGCAACCTGGTGCACTGTTTTGAGTCTATAGACACTGCGCTACTTTACACAAAATGTACCTTGAAAAGCCTTGCTACGGAGTGGCTTGGATTAGACAACTATAGAGTGGATAAATTTGAAATGGTATAGTTGCATTTTTTTTGTCTAATTACGACTAATCATTACGTTTTATTCAATAACCACCTGGTTTGTCCAATTTTTAGCTTGTTAGAAGGATCTTGCGCCAGACTTTTGTTGTCTGTAAGAAACTGTCTTGGAAAAAAAAGTGTGTTGTTGGTGTTGGTAAAGTTCTTGAAGAAATTTTAATGGATGCTAAAAATTGCTTGGGCCTCAAGTTACACATAACTAATGTTTATATGGAAGAGTTGGCTAAAGTTGGCGAAGAAAAAATACCAGAAAGTATGGTCACAGAATTCGTCAGGCCATATGTTATATACTTAGCTAGTATTGATGATATGAGGCAAATAAGCCATATTGTAAAAAGTATATTTAGGTATTTAATTTTCCAGTCTGAAGTTGGTTCAGAGTACCTGGAAAAGTACGATGCTTGGAGAAGGGTGAGAAATTCGTTCACCTGTCACTCATAGAAAACAAAATTGCCATGATCCTTGACATTTTTATCTTTATTATTTACAGTCCAACTTCCCTTGTGACAGTATTGATCAAATGCAAAAGGTTGAAATTTCGGACGACGAAGACGAAGCTGAAGCTTTAAATGATGACGAAGATGAAGTAAGGGATTCAAAATGTGTGGAAAAACCGTTAGATCCAAGGGCAGGAATGGTTGATGTAGACCTTCCGCCAATACTTTTTGACGCATCCCAAATAGCTCAAATTTTGAAAGAAAACAAATTTCATCAAGCATCCACCGCCAAAAATCGCAAGTGGATAACTAAATTGATTAATGAGTAAGTCTTTTCATATATAAATATTGATACTCACCTTATAAAAGTTAAAAAATCTTTTTTTTTTGTTTCTTTAGTTTTACCAAGCTCAGTCAAGGTGAAATGCCAATCGGGATGAAAAAAGTTCCCGATCGAGATGAGTACAGTGTAAACACGTTTGTAGCTACTAAAGAACTTTTAAATTTCAATAAGGAGTTATATTCTGATTCTGGTAAAAGTCACAAAAGGAAAAAAAATAACGGTAGCCTAGAATTAGAGGAATTGACTCCACCGGACACATATGATGAATCCAACAATACTAAAAATGTAAATGTGTCGAATTTTCCAAAGAAAAAAAAGTTGAAACATTCTAAGAACCTAGATAATACAGGTTTAACAAACAAAAGACAGTCGGAAAATTCCAATGTCATTTGTTTGAAGGAAGGTAAAAAAGTGTCAAAAAATGCATCTGACATTAATGAAGAAGGAATAAAGAATTTTCAAACCGCTAGTGAAGGTTTTATTAAAATTGATAAAAAATTGAATAATTGGAATGTAGAAACTTTGGCTCCAGAAAGTGCTCTAACATCAATGCCAAATACATCAGAAAAAAAGAAAAAACTCAAAAAAAAGAAAATCCCCACAGGAAATAGAAAAAAACTAGATCCATTTCCAAGTAATATGCCATGGTTGACCCCAGTTCTGACTAGACTGGAACATGAAAGTAAAGTGAGTTAAATAAATTTTTTTATTTTTGTCAATTTGTATGGTAAACCATTAGATATTAACAAAAAATTATTACGGAAGATGAATAATATTCATTATTTTTAAAATTGAAGTGTAAATTTTTAGACACCATCGCCGAAAAAGTCTGCACTGCAAACACCCAAAACAGATTCGGCAAAAAAACGTGTTAAAATTGCCCTGCAGAAGAATATGGCGCAAAATACGTCAGAATACTTCCGCAAGATATTGCAGAATCCGGAAATTCCGTTTGACGCCAACAGAAAACCAAAAGCAAGCGTATTAAAGCCAAGCCCACTACCAAGTCCGGTTAATCCATTTTATAAGAAGAAATTATTATAAAAGCACAAATAACACAGTTTTGTTTTAATCTAATCTTTATTGTTCATTAAAGATTTTAATTGTGACATATTACAATCCAATAATCGTTATCTGTTTATAGATGAGATGTATGATCACCTATTCTCTAACGTTTTTGGTTTTTAAATACTCTAATAGTATAAAATAAAAATTTATGTAAAGATTTTACGAAACAAATACCTGTTTTGTGTTGGATAAATTTTATAAATTTCATTAGAGAAGCTACGAACGATTTTACGAATGTTATTTTGTACATAATCGAGGATTTCTTCAGTCCCTTGTAAAGTCGATTGCAATAATTTCGCTTATAAATAAATTTTCATAAACCTTCTGAAAAGATAGTATTGCTTTTAATTAAATCACCTATAAATACATCAATATACTTTTTAACAATTACTCAAGCCTATACAGTTAATTTTTTGTATTTATTGATATTATTTTGTAGGAGCGAATATCTTTGGCACATGAATTCACCTTCTTGTAGGTACCTACAAGATATTTTAATGAACTATTGAAAATAATAGACAACTGAATTATTCTTTTCGCTGTTTTCTACATCTAGTTTTTTTTTTTTTTTTTTTTTTTTTTTTTTTTTTTTCTTTNACGCGTGTACCTACAGGGGGAGGTTGGGTGTTCCGAAGATCGGCAGGAGCTTCGATGGATTGAGGATATCATCATTGTAGATCGTTTTTGTAGATGTCGAGAGGGGTAGGGCATGAGTCGCTATTGGTGGTTTTTTTTTTTTTTTTTTTTTTTTTTTTTTAATATTTCATTGTTTGCCCTTATTTTTATATCAATACGATCAAACAATGAAAATTTTTATTTAGAGTACTAAAATCACAAATCTAAGTTTTGCTCAGTTTGTTTTCTTAATTGTAATTAATACATAGTATTTAACACTTTTCACGATTAACTAAACCACGCGTTTATTAGACTTTAAAATTTCAACAAAAAAAGTCGATGACTTTTTATATTAACAAATGATAATGCATAATTCACATACATTCTCGTAATCAATTAATTATACACTTATCTGATCAACATTTCAACGTTATTTCAGTTACATACAATTTATTCGCTTTGCGTTTAACTTTTTAAATTAAATTAATACTAAGTGATGTACCTTTGTAAATTTGTACTTAATTTTTACGCGCTACTTTTACAATGTTTAATTTATTTTTCTCACAGTGTGTTCTACAGATGACCAACAACAAGTTGATAAGACAATTCCACAGTTTTTCTATAATAAAACTTGAAAAACGATACTACGTCGATAATTCTTTGATGAGGCTACAATTTTAAAAGTTAATAAGTACTTGGTACACAAAATATTATTTTCAGAGTTCGACGGTCGCTTACTCTGTAGAAAAATATCGTATTCTTAAATCATTCGAAAATATTGAAAACGTATCATATATCCTCTGCTTGAACAATATATACTCTCCGTATGCATGTATTAGTATACTTTGTTGATAAATTCTCGAATTAAAAAAATACCTATAATTGTTCGATAAACTTCGTCAATGTGATATTAGAACTTTGATTTACATATCATTATAATTAATTAGAAAAATATTTGTTCATTGGTGGAAAAGAAAAATTCACGTTAATAAAATATTTTCTTGAGATCAGTTTGTAAATATTACGATTCTTGCTTTGATTTAACACATTTATATATAGTTATTACAGTTAAGATAGAAACATTCAGCCATCGAACTGACGACGAAATTATTTGAAATTATTCTCGGTCGTGTTTTGAAATCCCCTAAAAAGCACTGACATTTATTTTTTTCACGTCTGCCTTGTGTACACAACACGCATATTATATATTTACCCAAGTTGAAAAAAAAATCGTTGACTTTCCAGTCGATTAATTTTTTCTCTTCTCGTATTCAAACACCAACAACAACAACAACAATAACATTAACAATCTAATAAATGATTATATATTGACTGTTTGCATATAATAGGAGTTTAGGAAACATCAAGATGCACATCCAAAAACGAGTCCTCCTCCTCCTTTCCATATCAAATCATTGTCATGCGAGACAAGAAAAATGTAAACTCATACAATACGTGTATATATAAGTTACCGATCGCACTTAAAACTACCGTCTTCTTCGTACGTACGCATCGATAATAATCTTTTTTTGGAGACATTGATTGCAGTTAGTACAGAAGAGGTGGAAAAGAAGGAGAGTGATGATACACAAGAACAACAGAGTACTTTTGTATAGAGTTCACTCGAGCTTGCGCCGGTCGGTCACAAGGACGAGGGCCTTCCACTTGTCGTACCAGGCCATTTCGATTTGATTGAAGCCAGTGCTGAAGAGGGACATGCCAATGAAGAGCAGCGCGAAGCACAGCGTCCATATCTGGAAGAAGGTCGAGACGAGCAGCATCACTAGCATCAGACCTGCAAATAAGTTCAGCCAGTATATAGATAGATACACGTAAATCGGCGATGTGTGTATAATATAAATATGTATACTTACCGGACAGAAAGGTCCAGAAGACGAGAGCTATCCTGAGGGGCAGTCGGGCAGACTGGGGCCAGGGCTCGCCGGGAAAAGCCTTGTCGCGGTAAAACTGCCCGAGTTCTCGTTCCTTCAGCAGCCAGCGTTCCTCCAGCCAGGCTTTCAGAGCCGTTTCATCCCTCGGTATGTCGGAGATCGGTATCCGTTGCACCTTGAAGTGCACCTCGCTCGGCACCTTGCCTTTTATCATCCTGCAAGTTTTACGTATTTTGTGAACTCATGATGATCATTTGTACACTTGTAACAGTGCGTGTATATTTTTTACGTACATGTCGAGCTCAGATTGGGGAACGAAATCCGGGTAGCCGATCGTCAGGTCGTAAACTGCTCGTTTTTTCAATATTTTGTTAGGTAACGGTTGAAAGTTGTTTCGTTTACATGTCTAAGTACGCGAAAGAGAAAAAGGAGGTCTCACCCGCGTCGAGGTAGTCCGCGTCCCGTAGGTGTCTCACGAGGTAACTGAAGCCCGTGGTCTTGGGATGCAGCGTGTGCTCGTACAGTGGCAAGCCCCGAGATTTCGCGAACCGATCCGAGCGACCTTTGCTGCTGACCGTGAGGTCCGTGCCCTCGGGGAAGATCAGCAACTGGCTACGTCGGCGCAACGTCACGAGGTAATCGAGTGACCGGGACAGGCGGCCTTGGTCCTCCTCCCACTGTCGGGTTATGTACAGGAAGCCGTTCATCTGCATTATCCAACCTGTTTTTTTTTTTTTTTTTTTTTTTTTCCCAAACAAGAATTTTATTATAATATAGTATGGTTTTTATAAGGCATGATTTTTATAAATATCGTGTCCTGCTGTCTATAAGGTTGAAAAAATTATTGTTTGGAACTGTGAAAAAAAAAAAAAAAAAAAAAAGAAAAAAAAAAGTTTGGCACTTGTAGACGACCGAAACAACTGTATACCTTCGGATCGTTTTGTATGTAGGCAATCCGTGATTTTTTCGTCAGGACAGTGTGCACTTGTGAAGTCGAGAAATCGTCAGATATAGATACGAAGAAATACAAAGAGTATATAAAAACCTGGGCCGGGAATGTGCCTGATCGGATCCTTGAGTATGAATTTGAGCTTGTGCTCGGCAACGCTGGGCATGCAGGCCTGATAAATGGCTCCCCACAAAAAGTTCCAATCGACTCGGGTCCGGTGATTCATGACGAGGATCGCCGAGTCGTTCGGCCTCACGTGGTCGCCCGACACCACCACTTTCATTCCAAAAACCTCCATGAGTATCTGATTTTATCAAAAATCTTATGTATATATACATTTTTCTTTTCATTTGGACCAAAACAAATTGCGATTTTTTTTCTTCCCCTGTATAGATGTACGTATTGCTTACAGTAAAATATAAACGGTCCCCATTTCCACGATAAGTTTTTTGTTTTTTTTTTTTTTTTTTTGACCAGAGCAAAAAGTGTGTATAGGTACACCGGACTATCTATTTTTTTTGCATCGTTGGAAAATATACATCTGGTTATTTATATACTCGCACAACGAACATCCGCTTGTTAACAATATAATATCTGCACGCGATCTATATTATGCTGCGGGTAAGGTATACTTTTTTTTCCCTTGTCAAATAATTTGGTCATACACCCGTGTTTGAATGGTATAAAAATGTAATCACTATAAACGAAAATTAAGGAGGAAAGCGCGTAAGTAAAAAAAAAAAAAAAAAACAACTTACAGCTGGATACATCTCCCAGCAGCAGAATAGGAGCTCGCCGCATTTTCTGAAAGCCGGTGGATTGATCAGCAGCAGCGGCAACAGGGGACAGGCGATGAACAGAAAACCCGACACGATGCTGCTGTACCACATAACGCAGTACAGCAGCCCACGCCACTTTCTGCTCATTATTTCCAGCTTTGCTCCCTTTTAGCTGCAATTTTTTTTTTTTTTTTTTTCCCTTTACTTGTAACTGGATCATCCACGAGATGGGATCTTTTTTATTTTTGCATACAACGCGCTCTCGCGTGAGCCGAATGATGCTACTCTCATCGGGAACTGGTACATGCCGTGCGAACGTATAGGAAAAAAAAAAGCCACCGGGTAATTTTTCGTTACGTGGAAAATGCAAACGTCAAAAAGACGATACTATAAATAAACATTATTGGTGCACGAGTACAGTACAAACAATACGAAAATACAATGATGCAATTAATTTCTCTGCCATTATATTAAACTTGACGTCTGCAGCTTTTAAATCTATATAAAATGCAGTTGGATAAAACACGCGACCCCGCAAGTCATTTGATTTACCGTCATATTATCTTATTACGCAACAATTCGGCCTTCGTTTAATACAATTAATTCAATATACAAGAATATACTCTCGCAATGAATCACTTTGAACGACTAAAAACAAAAAATATATGCCCACGCCCGTGTATATTTATGTATACAACGCGTACAGAGAGGTACGAGTCCACGTGGGGAGAGAAAGTACATATATATGTGTGTATTATATACAGTTGTGAGCGCACGCGTGACCTTTAACCCCGACCGCGCGCGTATATGACACACCACCGCCACCCCATCACCGCGACTTGGATTCGACTCGGCTTCGAGAGAGATGTACTGATCATGAACCGGTCCACCCATGCGCTCCTGCAACCCTCCGTATAAGGACGCGCTCCAATTTTTAATTCATAAACAATTAATTAATTATAATTCTACGCGCTTATTTTCACTTTCGTTACAAGTGACGAGCCAAAAAAATGTTTTCTTTTCCGATGAGAAAAGTATACACCGCGAGACTATAAATCAATCGATCGAGACAAATGGCACATCTAAAGTATCATCACTTTCCACACGCGCGTAGGTGTATAATTATATTAAGTATATTTTATTTTGTGCAAACAGCCGAAGATTATGAAAAACACACGAGGGCGCGCGGTGTGCGTGCGTGCAATGTCCCTCGATCATGTCAATAAAAAAAATCGCGCCCATAACTTATTTCGACAAGTCTAAAATCCTTCCTAGGGATCGCGCGAAAAAAAAAAAACAATAACAACATCACAGAAAGAACGAAACACAATAATCACCGTTTATGAATGAGAACGAATCGCGTCAATTATTAGCACAAGAAAACGAGAATAAGAGGTGTAGAAAAGCAGAGCCTCACCCTCTCCTCGGCAACAAAAAACAAAACGTCTTGTGGGACGCTGCATCTACGGCCCCCGACAAGCGTGTACTAAGTACAGGGAGGTTTCTCTTCTTCGATGATGCTATCTCTCCTCTGGCTTCCCTCTATGACATTATGCGCGTCTCGCAGGGGCTTCTCTCCCTTCGCCCGCTTGCCCACCCATTCTCCCTCTCTTGAGGAGCAAAAACATTTTACCACGATCAGCCCCTTCGTTTCGATGCGCTCTCTCTTTCTCCCTCCCTCTCCCGTGCGCGTATGTACTTATACATATACGTTCTAGGGGGAGATGATGATTCAAACGGATGCTGGGGGACTACTATTGATCGCTCCGAGCTTTCTGCGTGCGCGTGGATGACGCGTGTACCTACAGGGGGAGGTTGGGTGTTCCGAAGATCGGCAGGAGCTTCGATGGATTGAGGATATCATCATTGTAGATCGTTTTTGTAGATGTCGAGAGGGGTAGGGCATGAGTCGCTATTGGTGGTTTTTTTTTTTTTTTTTTTTTTGTTTTATCACAGAAAAAAATACTTGTTTCGAGGTTGGTTGAAATTTTTGTTTTTATTGTAACGTTCATAGGTATGGTCAGTCACGCGGCGTTAATATCGCCGTTATAAAATCATCCGTCGTTCATTTGTAACATGGAACTAAAACTTTAGGCGTTAAACGAGCATCTTACACAAACACCCTCACCGTACATCTTTGGATTTTACATTACTTCAACCCATTGTAGTACTTGTCACACATGACATTTTATTATTCCTTTTTTTTTTTTTTTTTTTTCTTTGTTTTTTTTTTCTTTGTTTTTGTATTTTTCGGTATAATATTCGATTTTTAAAGAATTTATTTGAAATTGTTTCACAAGATGAAACGAAGAAATCTCACAAGCAATTAGCACACAGGAGTAAAAATTTCCGACACCAACAAACTATTTAAATAGTTAAATCGTTATTTACTTGTTCCTTTCATAAAAACTTTTTTTTTCTCGTTTTTAAATGTAAAATCATAGAATTTTTAAAACTTGCACCCACTCGATGATTTTAATTCACATTTAGTTTGTGAAAAAAAAATCCCACGCATAAATTTTCATCAGTCACAAAACATAAAATAATTGTTAAACCCATCTCTTTTATCCAAACAATGGACTAATCTAATATAAAATCTGTTGTGTTGCGCGCGTAAAAGTGGATATATAAAGTTCGTGTATTCACAGATCATGGAATGAACAATCAGGCATCAGCGACGTACGACACTATAAATAATTATCATGTACAATATTCGGAATATTTTTTTAGTAACGATTGCGCCTCGGCGCGGACATCTTTGTCCTCTTCAGTTCGCACTGGTAAGTCTTTGAGCTGATTGAGCCACCTGACAGCCTCGTTAGGCTTGCCGACTGCAATGTAACTCTTGCCGAGGTATAACTTGTTTTCCCAGTGCGGTTTAGGCGACAACTTTTCTGCCGCCTCGAAGAACGGTATCGCGTCTTCATAAGTTCCTTTGGGTACCTCGGCAAATAAAGCTGATGCAATCTGACGATTAAAACGAAAAAAGGTTGTAACGTCACAGCAACAAGTATTTTCATGTCTAAATTATTAATAGGTAATTCATATGCTTACTTTTTTTTCGAACCAACTCAATTCTGAAACTTCATACTGAAATCTTCCCATGAGATGATGTAAATAATTGTCGTTGGGCATTATTTCAATTGCCTTTTCTACATATTCTCTAAAGACATAACCGGATTTGATTTTTTCCTTTGAGGGTAAAAATTTACTTTTAACCCCAATGAGAATGGCGTACCACTTGTACAGATTACCATCCCGTATATGTAAAAACTTCTCACAAAGTTCAACACCTGTAAATAAATTGACCATTGTATTCTCTGTAAAGACGATTTTCTGTGTAAAATAAAAACTTGTCGAATTACCTTCTAAGATGTATTCTTTATGCTTTTTCGGCTCTAGGAGAGAACAATGATAGCAAGCTCTTGCAAACCTCCAAACAATTTCCACATCTCTTGGATTTTCTTGTAACAAACTTTTGGTTTTGATGTAAACATGTGGTTGCAATGAAGTATCTTCGCTCTCCTTATCAAGCTCCAAAAGTTCAGGATTCATTACTCCGTCAATTTCTCTAAAGAACTAACATATGATCTCTGTCTTTTTAAAATAGAAAATTTGTTTGCATAACTCTCTGAAATTGAATTGCTACGAAAGACTAAAAACCAACTACAACAACATTAGCAACAACAACAACACCAATAATTAAAGTAATAACAGAAAAATTAAAATCAAATATTAAGGGTGTAATTTTACTTCAAGTACAAGTGCAATAAGATACTACAGTGTCAAAATATATACGAACAGGATGCTATTCAAGCCAAAATGAAAGGCAATTCAGTAGAGGTATATACAAACAATGCTATTATTAGAAACTTTATTTACCCATTTGCAATTTCCTCTTCATCATCCGAACAGTCGAAAAATTCATCATCTCCAATATCCGTACCTGCTGTTGAAAAAGTATCGATGTCCACCTCTTCGGTTCCTAGAGAAGCAGTATCATCGGAATAGATTTTTCTCCTTATTATCTTTTTCCTTCTGCTCTTCTGTAAATTTATTTGCTGCGCTCTGAAATAATTTTTAATTTTTAACCCTCACTGTACAAATATCAGTATGATTTAACAAGTCAAAAATTAAATTTTCAATGAACACGATTCAACTGATGTTTAATTAAAAGTATTCACAATTTGGTTATCCTCAAGTGTGACTTGGCGTGACATTGTCTCATAGTCAAAACTAAAGATAGAAAGCACTATTTCTCAGCAATTCCAATAATATGTGCATACATGATATAAGTAACACTATATACCTCAGAGCTTCCAATTCCGCTTGCAACTCCACTACCTTGCGGCTCACTCTGTCAATGTTGCTGTTCATGGTTGAGTGTTGTTGTTTTTCCATGACTTTTTGATAAATCAAAACAGCTGCCACACTGGCAACTCCAATGGTCGCTCCGACAACAGCAGCAATAACATTTGAATTTTGTAATGGATTCATTGTGCTGCAACATATGAAACATGTTTGATTCATTTTTAATGCAACTTGGCAAGGGTAATATGTAAAGTACCTCTGCAATAGGTACCTATTTCTTATCCTTATAACACTTTTCATGTCAAATAATTTCTGCATAATACCAACAAACAATTTTAGACTGATAAAATTTGAAAAAAAGTGCAGGTAAGCACTTCTTATCGAGCAAAGAAAGCTTACTCAAGGCTGGAATGATTTAACAAAATGATAGTCGAGCCAACGGATGCGAAAAAAAAAATGTGATTTCGAACTAAGGCAATGAATAATGCAGCTAAGCTTGATTGACTCTTGCTTGCTTTTTAATGTTTCGCCTATCGATGCTAGATTTTATGCTTTCATCTTGAAAATAATATAGTTGAAAAAATTATTTACCTTGCACTCAGAAAGTGCTCGTACTTGTGAATTTGAGCTTTCCTCTCACCCCTTTTTTTTGGACACTTATTATCTTTTGTAAGTATATTTGAATTGAGCAAACAACTGCAGCAGAGCAGATCAACGTAAATAATTTGACGCTTATACACACACGAGACAGTCAGACGACGAATGATCGGAATAATTTAATTCAATTGAACACACAAACGTTTAGACGCACTCACAAAAAAGGCACACTACAAATGAAAGAAAACAAAAAATCGTGTCTACTTATGTCCACGGTCTCAACATCACATCCTTCTTCACTTTACTCAGTACTTATTCTTGTAGACTCGAAATTTTTTAGACGGCACCGTGATGAAAAATCGTGCGCCCAGCATCTCTCTAACGGGAGATGAATTCACTCGAGCAGGAAGGAAGGAAAGGAAAAGAAGGGGAAGGGACGAGAGATCGAGTGGCCGTACCTTAGGAAAAAAAAAAAAAAAAAAATCACACACTTAACCGGCTCGGCAATAAAACAACTAGAATAATAGCTTGATTTGATCGAAAGAGGTGTGTGCTGGCGATAAAATAAAGAAACGACGGACAGCACTGCTTTGCTCTTTTGTAGGGGGTTAGGAAACCGGGAGAGAGGAATTGTGGAAAACGCAGTCTATATACAGATGATGCACGTTGAACTCTATACTCTCACTTGCGAATTTTGACGTTATATACAATTACAACGCCGATGTTAAAGCAAAAAAATGCGCCTGTCAGCCTGCAGCCCTGGCGCTGCACTCTAACTGCAGACTGTGCTTTGCGGTTTACGACTTTCGCGGCGGCGAGAGGAGTGGAGGAGGTGGAAAATTTTTTAGAGCGGGTTAACAAATCGCGATAAGTAAGGGGGAGGGGGAGGAACTGTCACCCGAGCCATGCACTTTCTCTCTGATGCAGCCGGCATGCTGTTGCTTTATTTTTTTTTTTTTTTTTTTTTTTTTCTGCTGCACACGCGTTATTTACAAGCATTCACTTAGAACGTGATGATTTTTTTTACTTTCTCACACATTTTGTACAATTTTCCTTTATTATCATAAGCACACATGCGAAAAAATACCTATTAAGTATACATTACTGAGTCACACACGCGTTTGTGCTACGTGTAACATAAGTATACGAGAATACGAGTAATATAATAAATATACACACGTGAAGAGAGGATCAATCGATGACGCGGGGAGCTTGCGAGCTTGCGGCATAGTATATGCAGACTGTAACTATATATATTACACTCGCGTTGCACGATATTATATTATACGCCAATTGCCATATCCGTAACATGAAAATTTCTTTTTCTTTATCGTGCGTGTAACGTTTGACGTTGATTCGTTCGGTTATATAATGCGCCATTTTTTGGATCGTTTTGCAGCATAATTTCAAGTGTCAATTTTTTTTTATTGAAGCGAATGTTAATGTTTTCCGCTACGAGTATAGACGGCCTTGTTGAGCATGACCGATTCAATATTCGCAGCTTTTGTTCGGCCGCTGACTCGTGAGAAATTTCTATGACGCGTGTCTGTGCTTATACAAGATAAAGTATTTCGTTCTAGTCACGAAAATGGAGTTGGTGGTGTTTGATGTCGCTGCTTATGATATATTCATTTGTAACAAACAGCCTCGCTCCTTTTGTTTGCCGATACTCGTAGTGTGATATTAAATCGCCGACAATTAACTTATGCCATGCACGTAATAATGTGTACTATCCATATGTATAATAATAATATAGTTTATTTAACTTTATGTTTTGTTTTATTTTTATTTTAAATATAGTAGCAGTTAATAACCGGAGCACTCGAAACAAAACCGGTGATTTTTCGCGTTTTGACTTGATAAAAAATAACTTTTATCTACTAATAAGTGTAGTCCTAGGTGGTAAAGGAAAACTTTTCGTTCGAAATTTCGTACCCAGGTGAGCCAGCCAATAGCGCGAGCCGAGAACAGCGGTCAGCTGATTTACGTATATATGGGCCATTTTACGAAAACTCTGAAATAAGTATATTTTGAATCGTAAAATGAGATTTTCGAAATTCAGCGTTTACAATTTTTTTTTCGTTATTTTTCCTGATGTTTTGTAATAAGTATGGCCCAAACAAGCTATAAACTTTTGGGCCCGACTCTAATTTCATTTTTCGAGAACCCACGTAAATGTAAATGAGATTTTTTAAAGGAACCTCTTTTTTTCGAAAAAGCATTATGGCACGGGTCTTTTCAAGTCTCCAAAAATTTATCACTGGGCAAAGTGAAATCATCTCGTAATTTGTGAAAAAAAAAATTTTTTTTTTTTATCGTTCCAAACTATAAAAAAAGCTTGGACTGTAAATTTTATAGTCTAAGTTTACAGGCACCACAAGCCATTAAACATGAAATTTTGAAACGATACATTTCACCTTCGCAAGCAAAAAAATCATTTCGACTCCATCTCTCGGTTGTACTTATTCAGGGAAAATATCAGTTTGCTATAACTTAGATCGTCCCGCGGTTTTTGAGAAATGGCCCATATACATGTGCGTTTCAGGGCTCCGGGGCGCGTCCGCGGCAGGTCAGCTGATTTCATTGCAGTTAATGGCTGACCGAGGCGACATCGAGAACATGGTCGGGAACGCGATCGAGCCCCGGGAGAACGGTGCCGAGGAGGAGGACGAGGTTGAGGAGATCAACGAGGAAGGCGAGTCGCTTTTATCGATTTATTCTAGCCACTTGTGCGTGAGCGTGGGTGTTTCTTCCTGTAGATGATGAACGTGTTTGATTTTGTCCTTGTTGTTGTGGTTACAGTTTTGTTTTTCATTACCCTTGCAACGAAATGACAGCAATGTTGTGTACTTTTGCTTTGCAGAGTTCAAATCGTTGAACGATCAGCTTGACAAGTTGAACGCCGTGCTGGACACGCTGGAGTCGAAAAACGACAACATTCACGCCGAGTTGAAAGAATTGCTCGAGTCGAATCGGGAGGCGAGAAAGCAGTTTAAGGAATCTCAGGAGAGCCAAGCCAATAAGGGTCAAGAGGAAGCAAAGTCTTAATTAATCAACCTTTTTTTGCCAAAGTAAATATTTTACATTTAATTGTATTATTTTGCTGAATTTCATTAGTGTGTGTCCATTATGGTATTTATTATACATTCGTTTGAAATGCACACAACTGATGGATCGAGTTCGAATTGTCATTTTCGAGCAAAACAATTTTTTTGGAGATAATTACACACGTGTACAGTGCGTTGGCGGAAGTTGTAACATTCCTGATTGTAAAAGTTATTTGTACAGATTTTAAGAAGAATGTCGAGGTGCATAAATATAATGTGTATGTTAACTTGTAGGAAAATATATGAATAAAATTATTTTTCTTACAAAAGTACACGACTGTTTTCGGTATTTGGATCGGCAGTGAATAGCAAAAGATCCTTAAAAATCTCCAAGTCGATGTCCTGCACGATGTACGCGTTGGGCTTGTTGAATTTCATGTGATCAACGAGAATCAGTCCTCGCGTTTTCAAGCCACCGAGTTCGATGTCTATGTTATGCATCACAACGTCCTTGGCTGCGTCAGGTCTCAAGAAAACCCCAACCACGTAGGCGTCACAGGGAATGTAGTAGTGCTCTTCGTTTTTCGAACTGTTAACTCCGTCATCGATTTTGTTCACAAAATGAACCACGGGAGTATCGATTTTTCCGAAAATTTCTTTCCTCCATTCCTGCAATAATCATCATTTTGAAGCAAACACAAATATATTGTATATAACTGCCGCAAAAATAACGTACCATGTCGATTTTGGCTTTCAAGCACGTTTCCCACGTGAGGAGCCACAGTTTATTCGGAGTACTATCTATGACAATGTGCACACTTTCTGGATCACAGAAAAAATTGAATTCCGCCTGCGACGTAATGTTACCGACTCCTGGTGAAGTAAATAAATATCCCATTGTTATATTCGAACACAAAATAATCCATATGCACGTAGCGGAAACTTATAGACAAACTGGAATTACCTGCGGAGTTTCCGCCCATGACGAGAAACCTTTTGACAGAATCAGCAAAGTTTGGATACATTTTAATGGCAAGTGCGATGTTCGTCAAAGGTCCTAGGCAAAGTATCGTCACTTCTCCATGATATTGGGCTGTTATGCTGCGCAGGGCGTTGACAGCGTGTTCGTCCTTTAATCTACTGGTGTCGGGCACGTCCTGGTAAACATCGCCAAAACCATCTGTGCCGTGGTACGCATTGAGTTTGGCGAATTTGACGTTGTCTGTGGACAACAGTGCCGAATCCGCTCCCTTGTAAACGGGTATCTGATGCGCGTGCCATTCAATTTACAACAGAAACAGCAGAACCATAAAATTTTCAAAAATGATAATTATTTTTTTTTTTTTTTTATAAATCTCACAACTCACGTCCAAGGCTCCGCAGACCTCTAGGGTTCTGTAAACGTTGTTGATCACATTGTCAACGTGGGTGTTTCCACTGACGCACGTGATGGCCAATATTTGCACTCTATAGAATTTTTGGGCAGATATCAGCATCGCCAGGGCCAAGGCATCATCGGTACCAGCGTCGCAGTCGACAATTACTTTTGGACACTCCATTATTTCTTTCTTTTTTTTTTTTTTTTTTTCCGATTTCTACTATTATTGCTGATGCGTCTCTCTTGGATCTGATCGATAAATTTTTTTTCCTTTTTACTATTAATAAACTAAATTTATTATTCCTACGTCCTACTTTTGGCTAACGGGAACGAGTAAAAAATTCAAGATCTACTGTACAAGTATAGTGTAAAATAGAGGATTGCACTTCAAATTAATTCAATCTGGTTAAGATTAAAAAAAAAAAAAATCGAAACTTCAGATAAAAAGCCAGAATTATCGGTGCAGAACAAAATTCCTTATCTTTGTCATGAAAAACCTAATGAGCGCTCATATATGTACGAAAAATGTTGCGGTCTATGATTTAAAAAAAAAAAAAAGAAACCTTTAAAAAACGCAAATTTTCCGTGATTTCTTGAGAAAAAAAAAATATACATATAAGAGGTATACATGGTGCACGTGGTCAACCCATCACGTTTTAATATATGTATACTTTAAATCTACAAAAAATCGCATCTTCTGTAGAGTTTTTACAAAAAATTGAAACGAGTTTTTTTCGCATAATATTGTACTGACAAGTCTCATTTGAAAGCTCTGTTCCGGCAGTTTTGAAAAAAATAAAATAAATAAATTTTTGATAAATTTGTTCGAAGCTTTAAAAGAATCACTATTTTTTTTTGTCTCATTAATCGCAATAAAGTACTTGTAATAAGATAAGACCAATATACCTGTAGTTCCAAAGGTGTATGAAAAAAAAAATTTCCCACAATGTATAAATCACGGATACAATTTTTAGTGTAACTGCACGTATAGGTAACTGTACACACACACACACACACACACCCACTTATCCCGTTGCTCCGAAACTCCACATCGTAGGTATAAGCTTATAAAAATGTCAGTCGGAGTACCTATGAGGGCATAAGCACGCAGACGCTCCGTAACAATACCTACTTACCACTTACGACTTGAGTATACAATTAAAGTTAGAGGTGTATAAAAAATATACACCTACACACGAAAAAACATAATTCGTATGTGTAGTTGTGTATATATACATATATATATGTATAGGGCGTGTACGCGAAATGTGTGTATATGTGTATCATGCAGCGATGGGGTAGGTCTGAGGAGGAAGAGGGAGCGAAGGTCCTTTGAAGGCTCCTTGGCTGCGGAGAGTGTGGGTGCGTGGTGTGCGAGGCACCCCTTGGCCGTGTACCCCCTTGTTATTCTCGGATCGTTACTTTTTCCCCCCTCGCTAAATCATATATTATTGTACAAGTACAACCAGTGGAAAGAAAGCTCGCGACCGTGTTTTATAACGTATAGCACTACGTGTAGTTCAGGACAATAAAATGGACGAGGCGAGGTACCTCAAGAGGTGGGTTTTGAAAATTTTGTGATTACTTTTTTTTTTTTTTTTTTTTTCTTATTTTTCGTACCTTCATTACGATTTTTCGGCGAATAACAATGTGTATAGCTTTTCCGTGCTTATTTACGTGTACCCGTATACTCTGCATGCTCGGCACTTTTATCGGGTTATTTCTCCCTCTCTCTGTTGGATCGTTTAATTAACCTACAAGTTTTCAAGAGCACGGATGATATTTTGGCCGAACTTTCGCTTTTTTGCTTACTAAGGGGTTGTTTTTTGTTTTTGTTTTTTTTAGGGGTAACGCGATTTTTCATTTATACATTTATACGTTGCACCTACAGTCGTTGGGGCGGGTGGTCCGGGAGGATTACGATAATCATACCAACTTTCGTTGCAACTGATAATGACTTATACCCACCTATAAACGACTATTTCGAGAACAAATTGATTTTTCTGCAGTTCTATGTAGTATGGAGTTTATACGAGCGATGAATTTCTTTTTCTTTTTTTTTTTTTTTCGGTGCCTATATACCTACACGTACATTTAATTTGGTTGGGTATATAACTTCTCTATGGTGTCGTACCTAGCGACGTGTAGATTATTCATAAATCAGAAGCTTCGGAAAATAAAGAGCAAAAACGTACCGCTTGCGTGAACTCGAGTCGAGCGGTTCAAAAGGAAAAGAAAAAACTTGTGAATTTTGAGTTGCGCTTGCCGAGAGAAATCAAATCAACTGTCAAAATCGTTTCGGGCCGATACTTACATGCACATGGCGTTCTGAAAAATAATTTGGCCACTTGTGTTGTTATAGAACACTAGCTTCGGGATTTTTTTTTTTTTTTTTTAAGTACAGTCGATCGAGTGCTGTTGAAACTAATTATTTATACTTAAAAAAAAATTGTAATTTTATTAAGAACTGTCATTTTTCAGAACACGTAGAGCGTTGATTATTAAATTTGTTTTTTCAATTTTACGATCTAAATTACTTGTTATTAACAAAGTTTTCTTATTCAATTCCATCGTAAAAAAGGTGAAAAATTTTTTTTTCCTCTTATTACACTTTTCTGATTGCAATCGGTAGCGTTTATACATGAAAAAAAAAAAAATTGTTTATTGAGCCCGACATAAAATATTCATGACAGATTCTAAATTTGTCACACACGAAAAATAGACAATTTGTTCGTATGTTTTCACTTTTTGCTCTGGTAAAAAAAAAGTTTGACAAATATCCATAAGCCACGTTTTTACCATTAATAGTATTATTGAATAATCGATTCTTTGCCTGAAATATTGATGAAACGATTCCAGCGAGGGATAGAAAAACTATAAAACAATATTTGGGAAAAATGCATAAAAATCGAATATTTTCATTAGAAAAATCAGATCCGGAAACCTTGACGTGCACCCAACTGAGAAGGCCCTAGTGGTAAACTATGACGTTGAAGCCCTTATACTGGGCGAACTCGGAGATCCAATGCTGGGAGACCGCAAAGTAAAGTATATTTTATTCACAAATGATTTTTCCTGCTTTCGTTTCATCATCTTGCAACTCGAGAAAATAATTTTTCCTCAGGAGTGCCAGAAAATAATTAGGCTCAAGAGCCTCAACGCAGACACGAACGTCAAGCTTTTAGCCAAGGAAGTCATAGAAAAATGCTCTCTGATACACGAGTCAAAATTACAGGAAGTGGAACAGTTGATTTACTACCTTCAGAATCGAAAGGACAACAACGAAGGTAAAACTGAATTATAATCATTTGATGATTAGCTGCAAACGAGTTATCGATGGGAAAAAAAAAAAAAAATGCTCCTTAGATGGCGAGAGCAATGGTCGTTTTCCAAGGCCACTGTCGTCGTACTCCCTGAACGCCGAGAGCCCGGAGATGGAGCGCGCAGTGATCAGCAACATCGACAAGTACATGGAATTACTGTACGAGGAGATACCAGATAAAATAAAAGGATCCTCGATGATCTTGCAACTGGCCAGGATACCGGACAACCTTCAGGAGTTGACCAAAAATGGTAATAACCGTGGGGTGTGCCGATGCAATTGAATTCGCAAGTAACCGTGAAATGATCGTTTCAGAGTCCCTGTTTAGCGTGCTGGCCAGAGTCTTGCGAGAAGACTGGAAGAAGAGTATCGACCTGTCCATAAACATCATCTACGTATTTTTTTGCTTCTCCACCTACAGTCAGTTCCACGACGTTGTTCTGGAGCACAGGGTAAAAGAGGGGCATACAAAAAAAGGGCAATTTTTTACCTTTGGACACGAGCACGAGTCATGAACTTTTGTCATTCCAGATCGGCTCGCTCTGCATGGACATCATAGATTACGAGTTGAACAGGTACGATCAGTGGCGAGAGGATTTTGAGAAGCGTCGAAGTCACTTTGAAAGTACCACGGGCTTGTGTCTGCGGTCTGTGGCGAGTCCCGAGGGTTCAGATAAGAAATCCAAGGCAGTGAACGACGTGTGCACCACCGACGGGCCGGTCGATTATCAGGAAAAGAAGCGGCCTGCCGATGAAGTTTGCGACTTGTCGAAGGAAGAGATCGACAACCTTAAGGACGAGCTGGAAAAGAGCCGCAGGAAGTTTAAGAATCTGACGAAAAAGCAGGAACAGCTGCTCAAAGGTACGCTTTGGTTATTTATAAAATTCATGAAGTGAGGGATTAAAAGCGAGTTTTTTTTTCATTTGTGTCCATCAGTTGCTTTTTACTTGCTGCTGAATATCGCGGAGAGTCCGGAGGTGGAGAAAAAAATGCGAAAGAAGAATCTGACTGGGCTTTTGATGAAGACCTTGGACAGGACTAACACGGATCTATTGATACTGGTCGTGACTTTTTTGAAGAAACTGACGATTTGCAAGGAAAACAAAGACAACATGGTGAGTCGATCGATAGAGTCGAAAAAAAAAATTTTTTTTTTAAATTGTTGATTAATTTGCAGGCTGAGGGAAACATCGTAGAAAAGCTACCAAAGCTTCTGCACAGCAGTAATCCGGACCTCGTCTCTAGTACTTTGAAACTTTTGTACAATTTGTCCTTTGATGTAAAGCTTCGAGGGAAAATGGTAAAAGTCGGCCTATTGCAAAAATTTATCAAGTTTTTGTCACACGACGATATCAACAGAACGACGATTCTTGGATTGTTGTACCATCTTAGCATGGATGACAAGGTCAAAGCCATGTTTACGAATACCGATTGCATTCCTACGGTATAGCTTTGATTTTCAATAATTAACAATTACGATGATAAATATTTTTTTTTTAATATTTTTTATCACTTTGCTCGATACCCAGGTTACAGACTCACTTTTAGAGTCAGACGATGAACAAATGGTTCCTGAATTGATCGCACTTTGTGTGAATCTTGCCATAAACGGCAGAAACGCGGAATTGATGATACAAAACAACCGACTGCGAAACTTGGTTGAAAAAGCATTCAAATCTCAAAACGCCTTACTGATGAAAATAGTTAGGAACATATCGCAGCACGATTTTGCAAAGGAAAACTTTGTGGTAAGAGTTGAAAGGAAAAAAAAAAAAAAAAAAGAACTCGTAACTTCGTCACCCTTTACTCTGGATCAATAAAGTAAATTGCAGGAATTCGTGGGTGATTTTGCAATGGCTGTGACGCAATCCGAGTGCAAGGACTTTGTCGTGGAGGTCGTTGGCGTCATGGGAAACTTGTCCTTGCCAGATTTGGATTACTCCCAAATTCTCCAGAGATGCAATCTAATTCCGTGGATTCGCAATACCCTTGTTCCGGGTAGGCGTAAATTTTGATTTTTTATTATTTATGTAAGCCACGTTCAATCGCACGAGCCAATCGTGATCGTAAATTTCGTTTCGCTTAGGCAAGGCTCCTGACGACTTGGTGCTCGAAGCTGTGATATTTTTAGGTACGGCAGCTGCAGACGAAGACTGCGCTCAATTGATGTGCAAGGCAGACATGCTCTTACCGCTGATCGAACTGTTAAAAGGTTCGCCCTAATTTGATTTTGGATGCTTTAGAAAATCGATGGTGTACTTTTGATTGATGTTTTTACATTTGATTCCGCAGCGAAACAAGAGGACGACGAAATGGTTTTACAAATAATTTACCTTTTTTACCAAATATCCAAGCACGAGTCCACGAGGCATTATCTGATCAGCGAAACTGCCAATGGTAATTTAGTGTCAATTTAGGCTCTCCTTACGGTGCATATATGCGTACAGAATTTTCCAGTATAATTTTCCTTGCAGAGGCACCGGCTTATTTGATCGATCTGATGCACGACAAGAACCCAGCAATACGAAAAATTTGCGACGCGTGCTTGGATGTGATTGCTGTAAGTTTGTCACTTTGAAATACATGTACTAAAAAATGTGCAATAATAGATAACTTTTCTTCACAGCTTTGTGACAAAGATTGGGCAGCCAGGATAAAATTCGAAAAATTCCGATCTCACAATCAGCAGTGGCTGGGAATGGTAGAGTCGATAAACATCGACTCGATCGCCGGTAGTTTGCCACCAGCCGAGGAAGAAGGCATGGACGATGAGGATAGCTTGGTGCCATTTTCCGAATCGGAGCTTTTGCAACACACGATGCTGTTCCCTTCGTCGTCGTCAGGTATATTGTACTTAATAATATTACATCTGTGGAATTGGATCATTGCTAAAAAACGTAATTTAATTTTTTTTTATATTTAAGGTTCTCACGCGAGGTTTACTCTTGATGAGGAAGAGCTGGCAGCTAAAGGTGCTTTCGACAATACTGCGGGAAGTTCGAGTCGGCCCCTTAGTCGGTAAGTTTACTTGAGGAAAATTTTGATTGCGCATCGACCCTAAAAGCCTTGTTTAATCTAATACTCAGGTACAGCAGAGATTTGGACGAGATAACTGAACTCATGGCATCGACAAAGTCACGCCTGTCCATGGGTTCGGGTATAGAAGACTTGTATCACAGTTCGAAGCTTAAATTAGACACAGACACCTCGCACTTGGTCATGTGAACAAGACTCGCCACTTACGCATCGATCCTGAACAAAAGACTCGAACTAGTAGCGTTCGCACGCTATACGCGCTTTATCTGTCTGTGACGTTTTTTTTTTTTTTTTTTTAATTTGTCAAAAGAAGCTTCGTTGGTCGATTTTTATCACCAAGCTCACGCTCAACGGTTAGAGAAAAGTATAGGATGAACGAAGTAATCTTAAGAAGCCGCCACGTTCCAGCACTCTTTAGTCGTTAATTTTTTTATGACACGCGTATTTATCGTCTAGGTGCGTTTTTTTTTTTTTTTTTTTTTTTTACCTTGTAAGATTCTATGCTTTGACCAGCAGTATTCGTGCAATGCGTTTTATCGTAAAACAAAAAAAAGTAGCAATCTAAAACTCGAAAAATAATATAAATTTTGTAAGATAATTGCGATTTGTTTGTAATTATATTGTTAAATGAAGCTAAGTTGAAAGGTGACTTGAAAAATGAATGCATCGCTTTGGAGTGCCACTATCTTACATTTGATTAGTTATGATATACTTTTTTATTTTGTTGGAGTGGAAGAAAAAATAAAAAAGATGAACTCAATTTTCAAAGAGTATTGAAAAAATCTTTTTTTTTATTGTTATTTATTATTTAACACAGCCACAGAGATAAAATAGATGGTTGATTTGGCGATTATCCAAATTGTTATGCATATACAGCTTTTTTTCCGTATGTTTTTGTATCATGTAATTATGTACACAATATTATACAAATGAAAAGTACTAACTTTTGGACAACAGTAAAAAAAAATAAAATAAAAAATTTTGAAAAAAGTTAAGCACAATGATTTTAGAAAAAAAAGAATCAATAAAATAAGCTGTTAAATTATCATTGCTTGATTTTTGGCTTGCGATTCGAGCTTGTACACCGCCTTAAAACATAGCTACCCTTAGCAGGATTCAGAACGATCGTATAACTGTTGTCACCGTCCATATAGTAGCTGTGCTCCTTCATGCCCCAACTGACCGGACTGTCGGCAAAACCTTGCACATCTAAGCTGCACCAGGGGAGAGTCTCACCTCTCGCTGAAGCGTATTCACGAAACAGCTCGTGAATCTTAAGGAGCTTGCGCCGTGTAAAAAAACCCGTACACTGCAAATAACTGATCTGACCAACTACTTCTCTGGGCTTTGGACACTGGTACGAGCTCACATACTCCGCCTCCTGGCCATTGTTCGTTCTGTGAAATATTTTCATTTTGAAAAATACATATCGATCGTTGGATAATTATTTTTATAAATTTTTTTTTTTTAAGTAAAAATTAAATGAACGTCGTATTACAGAAAAAATAGGTTGATTGGCGGAATTAGCCATAATTGAGATTTTCAGTGAAAGAGCGAAAGGCTTTCTTGATTTCTCTAATTGACGTTCGCGCGAAAAGTAGGGCGGTTTTTATCCCCCATGAGAACGACCATCAATCAATTAAAACATTAGTGATCAATTGTTACAAAATTCAAGGTAATGACTCACAAATTTCCGTCAATACTGAAAAGCCCGAGCCATTCAAAAAACTCGTCGTAGTTGCATCCATCTTCGAGCATTGGAATGTAATTGGCCGTCAATTGAATGCGTTTGTTCGCTCGTTGACGGCAAACCGACACAGCATAGCTACGCTTCTCTAGCCATGCAGCTACCGAAGATGGACATACTCTCTCCTCTGTCGAGTATTAATTTTTCACGCGTTATGAAATTTTTCAACAATTAAAAAAAAAATCCTGGACAAGTGAGCTTACCTGGTGGATCCCATGCTAGTATCACGTCAAACTTAAGCTTGTGCAACCTATCCAGACTGTTTTGGATCCTTTCATAGTACTTCTTTCCAGGGGTTAATTTTTCGTCTTTCAAATCGATTCTCACGACTTGTGAGTTACCGTTGTCAAAAAAATTGTAATCGAACGTACCAAAAAAAAAAATAAAATAAAAAAAAATAAAGAATAAAATTCGTGCGGTTTAAAAATAATTATCTCCATTCTGCAGGCAATTTTAATTTACAAATAAATTAATAGAGAAAATATATAAAACACTATATTGGGATGAAAAATTAAATTAAAGTACGAGACAACGTGTAAATGTTTCAAAAAAGTTTTTTTTTTCTTTTTTTTTTAATTTCTATTGCTTATTTTTATTCACCGTTGTGAGATACTTGCGGTGTAAGTATAGTTGGCTTTAAAAATTTCTTTGTAAAAAATACGTGATTATATTTCTTGTTCTTTAGAAAAAGATCAATACGCTCGTAATAACATTACGCGTATATTACGGTATCTCTTTCAAAAGTTCTACGGTACAAATTTCATCTAAAAAGTCCGAAATACGTGTATAACGTCATTATATCAAAAAGGGGCAAAAGGTCGCGTTTCAAAAACTCCACGTTACGACGACTACACCTACTTCACCGTCCGGCAAAGATAAGGGAGGGAGAGGGGGGAGGAGTAGTTGCAAAAAATATCTAGACTCCACATCTAAGTTTCTTTCCATCGATTTACAAAGGAGAAAGGGCGTACGCATGGGGTAAGTATGTATCGGGCCAAGACTACGAGGCCAGTGATAATGTGGGACTAGTATCCAGATTGACGTTGGTCCTCCGTAGTTCTTGCCTGAACGCGTCCAAGTCCTGTGGCGCGATGCCGTCCCAGCTCTCGAGCTCCGAGAGCCGCCTGAGATTCTGGCAGTTTTCCATCAGGAGCTGCACGGTGCTCATCGACAGATCACTGCTGTACAGAATCTTGAGATCCTCGAGCTTACCCATCGGATTCCGAGTAAGCGCTCGGCGCATCGTAGCGTCGCCGATGCCGGTCGACGAGCCCAGGTGGATCGACCTCACGTTGGCGCAATGTTGGAGTATGAACTCTAAATGTGACTCGGCGCAGTCGACCACGCATTTGAGCCTCTCAAGCTTGGCGAACGGTGGGACGGGCAACCTGTTGTTATTGTTGTTGCGCTGCTGCTGCAAAAGCCGGCGGCAGCGTACCCCGGCGACGGGCAGGAACTCGCAATTGTAAAAGACTAGGCTGCGCAAGTTGGGGCAGTACTGGCTGATACCAACGAGCGCGTCGAGGTCGATCTCGCCCACGTGTTCCAGGTGCAGGCTGACGAGGTTGCAGCCAATCACGTCGAGCAGTACGTCCACGTTGTTCGCGTAGTAGTCGCAGGACAGTAGTTTCAGCTCGCGCAGCTCGGTCAGCGCAGCCAGGATCGAGAGGTCGTCTATGCGCTCGTCCCGCAGCATGGAGAGGCTCGTCAGGTGCGGGCACATGTCCACCAGCAGACAGAGATGCTCCAGGCTCATATTTCTGCACTCGAAGGCCTTCAGTCCAAAGGGCTTGTCCGTTCGACGGTCCACGCTGTGCTGGATGTACTCGAGAGCCACCCCGAGCTCGTCGTACCGACCTATGTCTTCGAGGCAGGCGTGATTCAACAGGAGGCTTGCGTAGCCCGGCACCGACACCGACGTCCGCAATAGCTTGATCTCGCGGAGCTCTTGGCACTTGAGTAGGAAGAACACGCTGCGATCCGTCACGGATCTCGAGGCCGTGACGTCGAGCTTCTGCAGCCTAGGACAGTTCTGGCAGAGAGCCGCGATGATGTTGTCGGTACAGTCGAAGCACAGGGTGAACGAGGTCAGGCGCTTCATGTTCCCGAGCGCGTTGACGATGATCTTTTCGATGTCCGAGGTTTTCCAGCCAACGGAGCCCGAGCCGAGATCCAGCACCTCCAGGCCCGTCATGTCCTCCAGGCACTCGTAGAGCGCGTGTCGCATGAGCTTGGGCCAGGCGCTGAACTCGATGCACCTGAGATTCGGGTGGACTATCACGCGGGTCAGGTTTATGGCGACGTTTATCTCTGCGATGAAACTGACGGTCGAGCGCTCGGTGTACGCGTTCTTGATCTCGCTGATCAGCTCGCCTATACCGCGCAGTGTCTCGACGGCCATGCGGTCGTGGAGGTTCCAGGGCACGTTACAGCCGAGCTGCTGGCGCATTGCCGTCAGCAGAGTGTTCAGGTAGGCCTGGCCCCTTTTCGGATCGAGGCTGGGCAGCATCGTCATGGGCTGTACTATGCGCTTACCGAAGGTCTTCACGTATTCGCTGACGGACCTCAGCGCTAGCTCGCAGAGTGACGGCACTCGGTGTTTTCTCGGCATTTTCGGGAGGGGAAGATGTTTCTTTCTTTTTTTTTTTTTTTTTTTCTCTGACTTCCTTAAGTTATCATGTGGCTCGCTGCAGTGGAGGTGTGGACTTACCGTAGCGAGAAGGCTCTCTGCGCTCAAAGTACGATGGTTTTCCCTCGATCCCGAGNTTTTTTTTTTTTTTTTTTTTTTTTTTTTTTTTTTTTTTTTTTTTTTTTTTACATTTGTCTCTGACTTCCTTAAGTTATCATGTGGCTCGCTGCAGTGGAGGTGTGGACTTACCGTAGCGAGAAGGCTCTCTGCGCTCAAAGTACGATGGTTTTCCCTCGATCCCGAGGCTCTGGTAACTGGCGCGCACTAGACTGAGTAACAAGTGGCCGGTTGGAAGTACGGCAACCAAGTCGTCGACGTCCACTCGTCGTCCGATAGTCAAAAGATTCAGCTCACCTGCAATATTGTACGATTAATTTCGATACCGGAGAATTTTTCAAGTGATTGGTTCAACAGTGATAATTTGGGACGTACCTTTTTTCACAAAAGCTTCGATAAACTCCTTGTTTATCAGATCAACGGCACTTAGACCATCAACTCTATAGTAATCGCTGTCTTCTAAAATAATTTGGTTAAAGCTTTCCGGAATGTTGGATGTGTTAGGAAACGTCACGGACACCTGGCCAGCATCCAAAAAGGATTACGAAATTAAACATATATACTTTACTTGTCTAAAGGTTTCTTCTTTTACATCAAGTAGTTAAACATTTCAGTCAAACAATTAATACCCGTTTTGTAAACGAGATTCCGTCTATGGCCGTGAGAATTTGTCAGAGAATACAAGTTCCGGGAGTCCAATGTTTTTTTAACGTTTGTTTGAAATTTTTGATTCACAGTGTTCTGTTGAATTAATCAACATCTCAAATCGAACAGGAAGTACATGCTTCAATGACAAATTCTATTGAAATTACGAGTAATGCAAGAAAACAAAAAAATATTAATGTCGCACCCCAATGATTCGTAATTCAAGGCGCGTAGTTATTTCTTTTGTTCGATATATTTATGCAGGTGTAGTACCGACTCATACCAAGTTTTTTTTATTACCAAAATACAAACAAACAGCCTATGGTAACCAGCTATATTTAAGCGCAATTTTTTCTTACACCACTGAACAAGCATAATGAATGACTAAAAATCATTATTTACATAATAATTATAGCACGCAAACTGTGATGTAAACAATGATCGACAGTAAAGGTAACTACGTTGAATTCAATGGAAACAAAATAATGAAAAAAAAAAAACTGATAAAAACGTTTTAAACGAATTTAAAGTACCTCAGCAGCACTCTCGAAACCACTCGAAAATTAATACATCCATCCTATATGTAAACATTTAAATCGCGCTTCCAAATAGGTAAGCCAGCTGCTACAACGAAAACACGACGTGCGCGATGCTATAAGCATTGCGTAGGTCGACTCTGCACACACAATTTAGCAAAAAGAAAAATTTTCGTGGGGATAGTGTTTTTTTACATATTATTTTTTAATATTGTCATGGCAATAATTTAAAAAAATCATTGCTAGTTTGCTACACACGTCTGTAGTTTTAATTAACTCTAATCATATGAAGTAGACAAGCATGTAAAAGAATCTCAAGTGGATAATTACATAAAAAAAAAAAAAAAAACTTTGATGAAGAACAAAAAAACTACAATGAAAAAAACAAAGAACATAAAGTATCAATTCGCTGGCTCCTACTTTATGCAGCCTGTCGATTTCAAACAAAGCGAATCGATCAGCTGATGGGAAAATCATCACGCAAAATCTTGGAAATTAATGATTGTAAAAAAAACTAACATCTCCTAAACTATTTACCTAAATAAAATAAACACAGTTTATCAATTTAAAAACTTGCAGTAACTTACACGATAAATATGACAACGACAGACGTCGACGACGACGCAAAGAGGACAAGAGCCGCTTGGGTTGGAGTTTGGACGTTTGGAGCGCGCCTCCCGGACGACGAGTGCGCGACGTGCGCGTGCTAAAATCGTCGTCGCCGTCCGTCGTTGTTTTGTTTTGAGACATAGTACCTATAGGATATATTATGCACTCTTTCTTTCTCCCCGTCACCTTCTCCTTCTCCTCCTGCATTACTTCCGTAGCTAAGTACTCCGCATAGATCTTGGAGTCATCATCCAAGAAAGAGAGTCGCTTTCAGGAGGAAAGGATAAGAAAACGAGAGATCGAGAGAGGAGACACGATATGAGACATACGTACAATGATATAGAAGTAGGTATCACGTATAAAATAAAAGAGGGGCGCCGCGGCCTCCGCCATGCACCGTCTACTACTCCCACGCGTACTTTGTACTCATTGCTTTGTTAAAACGATCTGAAGGAGTAACATTAACGTAGGTACATAAATAATATATTAGGAGATGTCCTCGTCGACAAGCGTCACAATACCAAAGCCACGATTAAGTAAGTAGGTATGCGTTGTAACATGTAAGTAATAGAACCTGTAATAGTCTTACCGAGTGATTGAAGTAATGCGAGCTGATGGTGTCGGACGGTCGCTTGATTGCGTCCTTAACATCATCACTGGTGACATCGTCCACCTTCAGGTTGTTGCCGATAATCACGTTGTCTTTGCCGGCGTGCAGCTCGATCCGGTGCCCCGGTGCCTTGAAATTCCATACCTCCGGGCACAGCATTACTGAGACTTTCCGCTTCGAGTTCACTAGTTTGCCCCGCACAAGTTATGTACTTAAGTAGGTATCAGGATATGGTGGATTTTCCCTCATCTCTATACTTTGATTGTCTGATTTAGGTTTAAATGCTACATATATACCTATCTGAATCACTGATGTCGTGATGTCCCTACAAATTTGGAGTCTGCAATTACGGAGTTAGTTGAGAGAGGAGATTGCGTGGAAAAGAGTGGCGAGGGGTGGGGTGAGGGTGGAATGAAACAGCTGATACGAGAAGTGCCTCACAATGCGCGCTATGCGCAGTCAAATATAAGATTTTTCAAGATGTGTGAATCGTAATTGTAAATTGTGTATGTGCTTGTGCTGTGTAACTGCGTGTGAATGTGGGTTATTGTGTGATGTATATTACTATATTTTTAATTTTGTCTTTAAAAAAATTTTTAATTTTTAAAACGCCATCTGCTTGGGCAAAGTATAGTTAGTAGTTACTGAATTTACGAAACGTCAAAAAACGAGTACGGGGATATCAGTCGGTAAAAATAAAGAGCGCAAACATGGCGAGCAAAAGTGTCGCCCGTTTGCTCCAAAATTCAAGTAAATTAAACTGCAGATCATCATCACCCGCGGCCGTTGTCTCCGCCAGGAGTTACGCGAGTTGGGAGCCCAAAGACAAGGAAACCCATACTGGCCAGGTCAGTTGAACGCATTGACGTAAATTAAATAGCACTTGCTGAATGTGTTGAAGGTTACGTCAGTGATACAAATAAAGATTTTTTGTAATTACTGTCATCAAATGTTATGTGTCTTCGATTTTTATCAGTACGAAGTAAATGTTATTACATTAACTTTTTAATAATATACGTTGATTTACAGAAATTCGAGCCCAATGATTATCGCCTTGTCAGATTCGTTAATAGACCAAAAGAAGTTAATCCTAACTGGGGAATAAAATTGATTGAAGAAGTACCTCCTCAGTCAGAAAAATCAAGGATTGTATCATGTGATGGTGGTGGTGGACCACTGGGACATCCTAAAGTTTACATTAATTTGGTACGACGCATGCAAGACAAAAATTAACTTAGTTTATTTGTTCTATCTCACAGTAGAGTCAACATTCATTTTATTTAAAATTGTTCTTTAATTTTTGACTCTAGGACAAACCAGGTAATCATTCATGTGGGTACTGTGGGCTCCGGTTCTACAAGGAAGATCATCACCATTGTTGTTAAAAATTTTAATTCAATAATGTAGTTCATGTAAATGCGATAACTGCAAAGTTTAACACAAAAAGTTACCGTTTGATTTAAACGAAAATTTATGAAACGTAAAGTACTTGTTTATAAATAAGTTTTAAGTTAAATGAAAATAAAAACGTTAAGAAATACACATCATTACAGACCTTGTATTTCACAAATTAGATGTTAAAACTAATAATTGAATGCATATTGTTTTTTTACAAGAATACGTCTTTTATTACAAGAAAATTACATCGCTTACAAACTACATAATTTTCCAATATTTTACAAGTAACAAAACAAAAGGCCTATTTATAAAATTTCTATATATTTTATAAACATTTACAGTTCCATACAACGCGTTTTCATTGATCAAAAAAACCAACACCCCCGCAAAAACTCGTCTCACAAGGCCGCTTTCTGGCTATTCATACTTAAAGGAATAGCTTTTAGCTCAGTCTTCATGCACAAAAACTCGCCACACACACACATTATGCTCGTAGTCACAATATTCAAGCACCACCAGCTAAATGTTTTCGGAAAGCTTCCATTATAGATCCAACAGCAAATTAAATGTATTAAATGAGCTGTGCAGGCAAAGTCCATGCACTGTTTGGTCCTCTGGACGAGGTACCAGAGTGCCAAGGATCCAACAATAGAGTTGAGAATGAAGACAGTGATAAGAAGATAGCCACCAAAGTCGCGAACGTGGATCTCCTTGTACTGGAAGGCATAGTCAAGAGATTCATTGGTGCCGAGTAGGCTGGCTATTGTGGCAATCCATATGCCTAGGGCAAAATACATGGTGCACTGGACAGCGATTATCTGGGATACTATGAGCATAGGATCCCACGTCGTTTTGCGGAACTGTCCTGTTAAGCCATTCATCCTGACATACTTTGCCTTTGAGCGATTCATTTAAATCTCATCTTAGGTCCAGCTTTGGAGAAATAATTAAACTTCTGCTTTTGACTGCTAATATTTTATCCATCTGTAAATTCATGAATTTTACCTAATACTTTTTATGATGCGTGTCGCAAACAAAACATTGACAGATGGAATTTAAATGTAAACAATGTATAGTGACAGTGAATTTAAACTGTAAATTATAAAAACAACTAGTTTTAGTGAGTTAAAAGGCTATGGACACTGTAAGGAAAATAATCAAGAATACCAAAATTCCACCTTTTCAACAAACAAAACAATTAAAAAATGAACAAACCTTTTAACACAATCAACATTATATTAGAAAATAAACATAACCTGTATTCGTAAAAATTTACAGTCTTCAATCCAACTTTAGTATTATTCTCTTAAAAAAGCTTGCAAAATTAAATTAAGACTGATGACATCAGAGTTTGTACGTAATTTAAGCAAAAGGAATGACTTTGTCGAAACACGAAACAATTGTGGACATTGCAGATGTGGAGTATACTCTACACTATATAAAAATACAATCATCTGTGTACCTATGCTGTGACATATATATTTTTTAATCTGCTAAATCTGCGGTTCTGCGCCAATTTTGAAATTCAGATTTTTTTGTCTCAAAATTTATTTGTACACGTCCAATGATACCATATCAACGGATGAAATCATTAACTTTGAAAAAAAAATAATTTCAAATTTTTTAATAAACTAATAAGCTTGCTTTGCAAATTATCCTCAAAGAATATTGTTAAAAATTACAATACGAATATGCACAAAAGAAGAGTATCCAAACAGAAACCAATACGTAACGTATGCTATCAGTTTTTATCGGTAACAACAAATCATCACTTATTCGGATTTCACACGGCTTATAAATAAATAATACTTTTTATATATAGATGGGTTTGCGTCTGTGCGCAAGTGTGTAAGTGTTGTGCGCCTGAGAGTCCTGAGATTGCGCCCTGCGGCTGTCGCTCAGCAGCTCTCTCTCTCAGTTATCGTACTAAGTTAGTACCTACTACTAACGTAAGTTTGATGCAATATTTAGTATTGTGTGACATTCAGCTTCGAAACTTTTGACATCTGAGGATGCCGATCTTCGACTTCTTCCGGAATTTTTTTGGTAGAGGATCGCCTGACCAGGAGCCATCGCAGAACAGGTTTGATATTAAACCTTTAAGGAAATATTTTTATTGCGATATCAGAAATCTATACAGGTATCTAGTGTGTTTGGCACTTTTACTGCGTTGTTGTAGGTACTAGAAATTTCTGTGCGACTACGTTAACGAACGTATTTATTTACACGCGTTAACGTGTATGCGTGAACAATTAACAGCTTTTGTTTACCACATTTTTTTACTTTTGATTATGTTTTAGGATCAATGATGAACAGAGACACAGAAACAGCTTCCGGAATCCCATTTGGCAAACTGACGAGGATGACGACGACGACGTTAATGATTTCGGGTTGGTTATAGATTGTTGTTTATTAACTTACATTGACAATGATTACAATTGTTAACTGTAAAAAGCACATATGTTTTTGCCAAATAGCAGAAATCACCATCAGTTCAGAATATTCAGTGATCCCTTTGAAATGACACGCTTCTTTGAGACTCAGATGGACGAGTTACTGAAAAATTTCTTTGGTGGCTTCAATGGTTTTGGCAATGATTCTAATGTTTTCTTTGGAAGTGAGCCGAATTTCTTTTTTACCACATGCATACAAAATTAGATTATTGCAAACTTTTCCTTATGATATTTTGATCCTTTTTCATCTTCCAGATGCTTTGCCAGGACCATCATCTCCTGAGGGAAATCCGATAGGGCCTAGAGACGAAGTCCTAAAACCTTCTCACGATGAACCAAGTTCACACTTTAAATGTAAGAGATTCTTAAATTGAGTTCTTGATTATTCCACTATTCAACTTACTTTTTCTCTTCCAATAGTTGACTTTAACAACATCTTACCAATGCCAGCTGATGAACCACTTGATGACGTGTTGAAACCTTCATATGAATTACCAGATGGTCAAAAACAAGATTCTGATATTGATGGAAAGTAAGTTATGGGTTTAAATTTAGATTATTTTCTGTGAACTAAATAAGTAACAAATAAATATATATCTGTTTTTTCATTTAATTAATTTAGACTCAAATCAAATGAATTGGCCAAAATATGGAAAAATCCAGCTCAAGATGTACAACCATCCAAGCCTCAATTTTCTTTTCGTTCATTTGGGAAGTCTGTTTCAACTCAGTTTGTCAGACGACCTGATGGGAGCCTGGAACAACGTCGTACGGTTAGAGACAGTGATGGCAATGAAGAAACAACCGTGACTCGACAAATAGGCGACAAAGTTCATACAGTAGTAACAAAGAAAGCCAAAGATGGATCGGAAATTAAATCAGAAGATATAGTTAATATGGATGAAAGTAAGTTTTTAAATTTTATGTACTAGTTACTGCGTCCGCTGATGGTTAAAATTACTAAACTTTGTTTTTTTTTAGATGAACTTCAAGGTTTTGATGAAAAATGGACAAAAATTCAAACTCCCAAAAAGGATAGTGCAGATGATTTTCCCTGGCATAAATTTTTCGGCCCCAATCCTAAATTATAGCAAATAAATTGATGTCACTGTTAATTTAACATTTTTTCACACTACAAATGAGTTTATAAATATGTATATAATAAAAATCTTTAAATTATTTAAATTTTAGTTACAAATAAATACATGTAACACGTAAAAAAATTGTTTTTCTGTATAGTTCTGTAATGTAAAACTTATTATTCAGTTGTGACTCTTTTCTGCATAAGTTATTAATTAAAACTTGAATTGAAAAAAAAAATAAAATACAACTATCAGTAATGTTTTGAATTAGATGTTATTTATTGTTTATAAAAAAACTATTTCAACTTTTTTTTCACAAAAAATAATTCTGTGTAGATATTGAAAAAAAAATTTTTTTTTACTTGTACTAAACGAGTATTTTCATGTACGAGGATTTATTATCCTCTCCTTGAAACAGTAATAAAATATAGACATCAGGGTTCAAACATTAAAAAATTGTTTTTAAAAAATATATGCAACATTTAAAAGCTCGTGAAATTAAAATTTTGTTCCCATGGAGTTTATGAAATTAAATTACTATTCATAAAAATATGTGCCCTATAATAATCTAATTCAGCTATACTAAGTTTAATGTCTTCAACTGCTTCGTGAGATCCTAGTTTTTTAGGAGCCTGTTCATAAACTTCAGGTTTCCAACGTCTGAAAAAAGCAATAGATAATATAAATAAGAAAAATCTTTTCGTCGTCAAATGATGATAACATAAAGGGATTCAATGTTTACTTGACGACTTCTTTGATCGAGGAAACATCGATTATCCGATAATGCATGTAATCGTTTGCTGAAGGCATGAATTTGCGAAGGAATAATCTGTCCATATAAACTGAATTTCCAGCCATTGGACACTTTCCCTTTGGTATGTATTTCATCATGAAAAACAAAAGCTCTTCGTCAACTTGTTTTTCAGTTATTTTACTTTCTTCCACCTTCTTCACCAGACCAGACTACAAATAAAAATACCAACTAAATTTACCCCTGCCAAAAAATTCATAGTTATAGATTTTTTTTCTCGATATCAAACTACGTGACACAAGATATTAACTCAAGACACATTACTACAAGTCTATCTCCCTTATCAATACTTACCTTGGTATGGACTTTTTGACACCATTGGTCCATTTTTTGAAGTTCGCTTTCTGGCTGATGCAGGACTTTATGAAATTCTTCGCTAATGATTTTTAAATTTTCATCTGTAATAAAGCAAGCAACTTCTAGAATCTTATGTGTCTCTGGATCTAACCCTGTCATCTGTAAACAAGTATTAAGTTATAATTCCAATGTCCATCAGTGTAGTACTTAGAAATTAAATGTACAAACCTCCATATCAACCCAGACAATCCTTTTCTGTTTGGTAGCTGCATCAGAAACTCCAGAAGCATTGGCCATGTCAGTAGTTGTACTGGCAGCTATTTAATCAAATGTAAAATAAAAAAAATGAAAATAAGTACTTATGGTCACCACGTGCAAAAATTATAAAGACCGAATAAGTTCAAATAGCAACAAATAAAAATAAAAAAAAACCATTGAAGACTGAAAGTACCGTTAATGCACAAGTGAGGAGAAACAGCAGGCTGAGCGAGTTTCTTTAAACATCTTCTAACAGTCCTCAATATTGACATAATTGCACAGCTGTGTGCAGTGCTTTTTTTAAATCTAATTAAATGTTCACTTTGAGTTTGGACGCATTTATTCGATCGGAACGTTGGACGCAATAACAACAACAAAACACGTGTGCTTCAAACACACAACGTATAGCAAAAAGTATATTTAGAAGCATACACTTAAATACGTTACCTACGTATACACTTATAAACCAAAATTTTTTCTAAAATAAGTAAATATATATTAAATGTAATTAAGTACTTAGAGAAGAAAGTAAATTTCACATTCTGAATAACCTCATGTACTAAGAGGTACTTGAATGAATACGATAAAAAAATATATTTAACGCTTTTGCGTTTCAACGCGCTCTTTTTCCATAGTTATAAAACCTGTGTTTTTCGCGAGAGGTATGTATACATAGGGTACGTACACAAATTATAGATATATCGATGTACGAAGTAAGTCGTATAAATCAGCTGATTATAATTAAAAATTTTGTCTTACCTCTACAAATGATTTTTTTTAATTTTCAATCAAGTGATGCGGTTTGTCTTTTACACAGCGTTTGAGATTTTCGTGAACAATTAACAAAAAGTAAAACATTTTGCAAACAAAGTAGATACAAAATTAAATTTAACCGTAAATCTAAAAATTTACTACACTCTTTTGTTAACTCTGTATCAAAAGACGCGATGCCCTCAGGCGATTGCTTTAAATTAAGTAAGTGTAGGGATGCTAACAAAGTTTTGAAGATATTAATGCTACAACTAATGAAAAAAAATTAAAATAGGTAAATCTACTTACTCCTGCTTCTTTTGTTCTTTTTCCCCATGAGGAATAATTTGATAACCAAGCAAAAAAGAACCAACAAACACCGTGTCTTCAGCGTCTTCAGCAATTAAATTGGATAAGTAATACAGCTGCAACCATGCACGTTGTGAACTGTTTCCGAAATGCTTTGTTTACCTGCACAATACACGGCGGCAACGGGCACTTATTTCTATTGATCCCAGCAAGGGTAGAGAAAATTGTAAGGTAAGCTTGGAATATTTCCAACCTGAATGTTTCGAACCAGTTTTATGGTGTTTGGTTGGATATGGCACAGGGTGTACAGTGATCAGAGTTGAGGGTTGGGGTTGGTGGAGCCATGGATGTAGAGAGGGTTAAAAACTCACGTGGGTAGTAATAAGAGCGTGGGATATTTTTAATGAAACATAAAAATTTTCAGGACTAAAAAACTGTCCACACACTTTGGAATACACATTTGCGTTCGTTTGCGTTTTCTAATTTACGAGAGTTGTCTTAACAATTTATTGTGTCCGACCTACTTTACACCTTCATATTTCCGCGCCAGAACGTCCGCGAGCGGCCCTCTCGGAGCGAGAGAAAAACACCTGTGGAGTGACTATGACGAACAGATATATAAACAATGCCACCAGCGCCAAATTCTACATGTAAATTCACACAATGTGGTGGTTTTGGGAAGCTCTCGAAAAGCTCTAAGAGACACCAGCGCCTAGCTCTGAGAGAATTACTCCAAAAAAATAATACACACGTGCTCTCGTGTGCATGGAAGTTGAGTAGTTCCGTGAGATTGTTTGATTATTAAAAATAAAGTGGCACGTACGTAACAATCATATACTACTAGTTGTATTTGATTCATTATTAAATTTCACATGTAAACAGCAATATGTTAATTGAACCAAAACTAACAAATACCTCGCCGGATTTCGCCAAGCCGGCTTGCAAGCAAAATCCAGTAAGTAAAACGGACAAATTTTTATTTCTGCAAAAAAAAAAAAATTAAACATTTGATATCTGATCTTCGTTCATGTCATTGCGTTTTTTCAAGCTTTTGCAAGTGCTTGGAAAGCCACATGTTGATTCATTCAACTACATGCTGGAGGAAGGACTCTCGGGGACAATCAAGAACTTGACTCCCGTTTATTTGACGTTACCCAGTGGAGACAAGATCGAGCTGAAATTTGAACATGTTAGCATTTCTCGTCCAGCTGTCCCTAGTGGCACTATTGGTGTGTCTAATTCAAAAATCCTCCCCACGGAGTGTCGTCAGAGAGCCGTCACTTACAAAGGTAGGATCAATGCCAAAATCGCCTGGTCCATCAATGGTAGAAAGCAAGAAACTCTGGAACGCTGTTTGGGAGAAATACCAATCATGGTCAAGGTAAATTTCAATTACAGTATTCCTTTTTTCTTCCGACTTTGATTTTTTTTTTTTTTTTTTGACGTATATTGAACTGTATGACAATTAATTTAACGTTTTTTTTTTTCAAGTCCAACAGATGTCATCTACAAAATCTGAGCCCTGCACAATTGATCAAAGTAAAAGAACATGAGCAAGAGTGGGGTGGATACTTTATTATCAAAGGATATGAACGTCTTATAAGAATGCTGCTGATGATTAGAAGAAATTATCCCATAGCTATTAAAAGATCTACATGGAAGCAAAGAGGAAAATATTTTAGTGACATGGGTATTTTATTGAGATCTGTCACAGATGATTGTACTTCCATGGTTAGTTACTTGTCCTTATTACTTGTCAGCAACATATTTTTTTAAAATTTTATTTACTGTATTTTTCTTTTCTACTAATTTTTAGACTAATACATTACACTACTTAACTGATGGCTCAGTAAAAGTAATGTTCACCTATAGAAAACAGTTGTTTCACATACCTTTGATTTTAGTATTAAAGTGTTTGATGAATGCATCTGATAAATTCATTTACAATGCCTTGACTGCCGATTGTGACCATGATGTTTATTACAAAAATTGTGTTCTGAACATGTTGAGAACTATTCATTCTGACGATTTGAACTTGCACACTCACGAACAGTGCAAATTATTTATTGGAAAAATGTTTCGGATAAAATTTTACGAACTTCCTCCAACTTGTACAGATACAGAAGTTTGCGATTTCATATTGAAGTTAGTAAAGCTTAATAGTTGTAAGCAATTTGTTAATTTTCTTTTAAACAATGTTTATTCTTACAGGCAGTGCATAGCCATTCATCTCGATGACCCTTTAGATAAATTTAATCTTTTCTGCTTTATGACTAAAAAGTTATTTGCATTAATTAGTGGTAAATGCATTGTGGAAGGAGTGGATTCTGTTATGATGCAAGAGTGTTTGCTTGGTGGTCATCTATATTTACAGGTCATTAAAGAAAAATTGTATTCATGGCTCATGGTGTTGAGATCGAATATTTCGAAACGTTCTAATAACGTAGGCAACAGTTTTACTTTGAATACCCGTAAGTAATGTTTTTCTGAGCAAATTATTTTTTTACCAACAATTGGGTGCATGATTTATAAAACTTTACAGAGGAAATGCAAAATATGCTCAAATATTGCGGTACTTTTGATTCGCAAATGGAAAATTTTTTATCTACTGGCAATATCAGATCTCAAAGTGGCTTGGGCCTTCTGCAACATTCGGGCTTGACTATTGTCGCTGAAAACATTAATAGAACACGATACATGTCTCACTTTAGAGCAGTTCATAGGGGTTCTTTCTTCCAACAGATGAGAACAACAGAAGCCAGACAATTGCTACCCGATGCTTGGGGTATGATATTAATTTTACAAATGCTTGATACTTTGCGTAACAGTGTTTCTCCACGATAAGCACAATTTATACAATGGTGTTTTTAGGTTTTATTTGCCCAGTACACACTCCAGATGGTACTCCATGTGGTCTTCTTAATCACTTGACAATGAACTGCACCATTACCGAACATCCTGATCCAAAATTGAAGAACGCTGTTCCTAATGTTTTACTAACATTAGGGATGCTTTCCTTATCAACTGTTGATGACTGGAAAAATTCCTACACTGTTCATTTAGATGGTAAAATTATAGGTTTAATAGAGGATAATATTGTTGACAGAGTTGTTGACAAGTTACGTATTTTAAAAACCAATGAGGAGGTAAGCATCAATAAGAATGAGTATGTTTTCGTAAAAAAAAAAAAAAAAAAAAAAAAAAAAATTATAATTTTCAAATTGTTGATTTGTGGAAACTTGATATTCAGGTCCCACCAACAATGGAAATAGTTTTTGTGCCCAAAAAAAATGTTGCACTTCAGTATCCCGGCATTTTTCTTTTCACAAATTCAGCTCGGATGATGAGACCCGTAAAAAATTTGCTAGTCAATAAAACGGAATTGATAGGTACCTTTGAACAAGTGTATTTAAACATTTGTGTTACAGCTGAAGAAGCATACGAAGGCGTAAGTGAAATTCTGTGGTAAAAAAAATTTTTTTGACGAGTATAAATCACATTACGAAAAATTATTTTAGCTGACCACTCATCAAGAGCTTTCCAAAACGGCTTTCCTCAGTAACTTGGCTTCTCTAACTCCTTTGTCAGATTACAATCAAAGTCCAAGAAATATGTATCAATGTCAGGTAAATGATAATCGAAATCACGATTATTTATGCACTCAACCGATTTCTCAGCAGCACAATTTAAATCTATTCTGATTCAGATGGTGAAACAAACGATGGGTACTCCATGTCTCACATGGCAGCAACAAACAGAAACGAAAGCATACAGATTACAAACTCCATCAACGCCCTTGTTCAGACCCGTTCATTATGATCATATTAATCTTGATGAATTTCCTGTTGGTACAAACGCCATTGTCGCTGTAATTTCGTATACTGTGAGTATAACAATTTTACCAGCACAAACAAGTCAATAATTCATTATGAAATACGAACAAAATAATTGCAATATTTTTCCTTTTAGGGCTATGACATGGAAGATGCTATGATCATAAACAAAGCCGCGTATGAGCGAGGTTTTGCGCATGGTATGATTTACAAGTCAGAATTCATAGAATTAAAAGAACAAGGGGACTATTTTGCTAAGGATCCTCAGAATTCGGTCATCGGAGATAAACTGGATTCTGATGGATTACCAAATCCGGGCTCAATCATTAAATTTGGAGATCCTTTCTATTGGTAAAAATTTATTCGACTACATTATTTATTCCCGTACAATTTTTTGTTGAGTTGGAAAAAAAAAATTTTAGTTTCTTCGACGGAGACCAAAAGACATTTGTATTGAAAAAATATTCTGGAAAAGAAGACATGTTTGTAGATAACGTAAAACTTTGCGGGACTTTACACCAAAGTGTCAATCGAAAAGCCTGTATCACATATCGAATTTCTGTAAGTAAACTTTTAAGATTTTTCATAAAAATATTAATCTTATTTTGATTCATATTTGTAATTGAAATTAAATTAACATTTGCTAGCGTAATCCGAATGTTGGCGATAAGTTTGCCTCTCGTGCTGGCCAAAAAGGTATTTGCTCACAAAAGTGGCCTGCAGAAGATTTGCCCTTTACGGAAACTGGTCTCGTACCAGATATTATATTCAATCCTCACGGTTTTCCGAGTCGAATGACAATTGGTAAGAACGAAATACATTTCATTTTAATTCGATAATTCTTAAAGTTCTGATACATGTGACTTGAAAATTTGCAGCTATGATGATCGAAGTCATGGCTGGTAAATCGGCTGCAGTCCACGGTTTAGTTCACGATGCAACGCCGTTTAGATTTTCTGAAAATGATACTGCTGTTGAGTACTTTGGAAAATTACTTGAACAGGGTGGCTACAACTACTATGGAACTGAAAGACTGTACTCTGGCATAGATGGTCATGAAATGAAAGCCGACATCTTTTTTGGTATTGTATATTATCAAAGGCTTCGACATATGGTCTCAGACAAGTGGCAGGTGAATATTTTCAACATTTAAACTTAAATTGGAAAACTATACAAAATATTTTGATATAATATTTCCAACTCAGGTAAGAAGTACCGGGCCTTCTGACATTTTGACCAAACAACCTATTAAAGGAAGACGAAGAGGAGGTGGTGTCAGATTCGGTGAAATGGAGCGTGATTCATTAATATCGCATGGTTGCTCTTTTCTTCTTCAAGATCGATTATTTCATTGTTCAGATAAAACATTGGTAAACGTCACTTAACTTTTTAAAAATTTAATTAGCGCTCAAGAGCAAATATCATATTTTATAATTTTTTTAACTTTAGTTACTGGTTTGCAAACAATGTGGGACTTTAATTGGACCCGTAATGGAAGTCGTAATGAGTAAAGCAGGTGCAGGAGAAAAAAAGATGAGGTGTCGGTTGTGTGGAGATGACGGCAAAATTGGCGAAATTGAAATGCCCTACATTTTTAAATATCTCGTTACGCAGCTAACTTCGTGTAATATTAATGTGAAAATAACTTTCACCGAAAAATAATTTTTTTTAATTTGTGCTAATTTTCAATACATACTTCATAGGTGATGAATGTATATACTACTTTGTACATAAAAGATTTTGGAGATTTTTAATTTAAAACTGTTTTGATATAATATTTCTTTTTTATTTATTAGAATTGGACATAAACTTTCATTTTCGAAATAACAATTGAATATTATATTACATATTTTTTATCGTTTGCATGAATAGTTAGGAATTTTCATATGCCCACATAATGTGTACTGCATTCCAAGTGAAATGAAGATTATGTACACAATTATTTAAGCTTAGTTGATTTTTTTCTACACTAGATATCTTAACAGCAATTAAAAATAATACTTTTAACTTTTTTGAAATTGAATGAAATTTTTTTGCCGTACATGTATAATTTTTTGTAACTTTTGATTATCGAAGTTATTTATACATATCTATACATACAATATAATGCAATAGTTATTATACGAAAATAGTTACAGATTTTTAAAACTTTTTGATCAAAAAGTAAATTTCATATTGAAAACAACATTTTAAAATCAACAATTCGAGAAAATCAATTATTAACAAACTTTTAGCTCAGATGTAAAAAAAGCTCAAGCTTTTTAAAAAATTAAGCTTTAGCAGGCACCTGAGTTCCAGCTTTGGCTCCTGGTGCTCCGCTACTTCCTGTTTGTTCTTTTTCCAGTTGTTTCCCTAGATACTCCCTGAAAAAGTTTTTATTTTTTTTTATTTTGAGATTGATATCAGTGAACAATTGTGTGATGTCAAAAATAATCTAAAGTCCAACATACCAATTGTGTACCATTAACTTTTGTACAGCTAAAAGTGCTTCATATCTAACATT